ACAGGACAAATCGCCAATCATTATTCATAGTGTGATGATTTGTAACTGCTTTAAATCTGTAAGAACTTGGAGTGATTGAAGAAATATCAATGGGCTTAGAAGGGAAATATGAAGTTTTGAAGAGGGACATTATGAAAACAACATGGAAATCTCAATAGAATCACCAAGTAAAGGAAGTATATATTTTCAAATAACAATGTTGTACAGTTTTATGAGAAGTTCTTTTTACACAACCAATAAAATGTTCTATGTGACGTTTTGATGACTAGAATGATATGTACACTATCACCTTCATCAGACAAATGACCAGTGGAGCGTATGCACACAAAGGTGTATAACGTGTACGAGTTTACCATAAAATCGACGTATGTACAATAGTTGTTATATATGTACCAAAATGACGCAATTCAGCTACGCTTTGTTAACACTTAGAATTGAGTCAATTCGGTACATATATAACAACTATTGTACATACGTTTCCAGCATAGCTAAAAACGACATTGATTTTATGGTTAACTCGTATACATTTTACACGTTTGTGTGCATAGGCTTCACTGGTCATTTGTCTGATGAAGGTGACAGTGTACATATCGTACTAGTCATCGAAACGTCACATAGAACAGTTTATTGGTTGTTTAAAAACTTCTAATAACCCATACTTCCCAACCTGAAAAATCTTTAAAAATAGAAAACAACATACAAAAACTTCAATTGGCACAATACAATTTTAGCACTCCAAAAGTTTAAAAATCATTAAAATAAGACAACCACTAAAATCTTATGTTTTAGTAGTAGATTGCATTTATGCTTTGTGATAGTAAAATATTAACAGGAAGTACATGGTGAATATTTCCCCTTTTCTAATTTATGGACCAAAAGTACAAGATTTGAAGATCACATGGTAGATTACAGGGATATGTATACTAATGTACTTCCATTGGGAAGGTAAATCAATTACAAGCCAACATTGTCAAAGTAAAAGATTGGAAAATTTGTTTACTTGACCATGTGCCCCTTATCATGTGACATGCATATCTAAAAGCCTGGTCGAATCTGGAGAGAAAAGATACCTCAACAAATGATGTATTCTTAGTTTATCGCCTTTTGACAGAAAAATCAAAAACTTAATTTTCAGTTCATGCGCCTTGGTTAATACGAAATATTTCTGTGTCTCCTTGACCAGCTACATGAAAGTAGCCATAGACTACATAATACATTTCTTGAATTCCCTATATTGGGTTATCTCATTAAACTAGACATTTTACTCTTATGAAGACATATTAAGAAATCAAGTTCCTAAGATTGATGTCCAGTAGAAGTTATTTTGACTGATATTTACGATGAGTTTTACTTCTTTTGCATACGTCACTGGCAGATCCAGTATGTAGGCAGTTTCCTAAGACCATTCCTTAAAAATAGAAAAAAATAACTGATGTCTTGTTAGATACTGAAAAAAATAACTATGTTTGGTTACATACAAGAAATGTTCAGAAGAAGGGAGGTCCCTTAACTGCCAATTACAAGGGAAGTCCCTTAACTGCCAATTAGAAGAATAAACTCATCTGTTGCATGATTTAAAGCATTTAAACAATAACAATGTTCAGTTGTAGCCTGCTTTATGGATTAACAATAACATGAATATGAATTCTCTAACACTTGTTTCGTTATCCATCATATACGTTATAAAGATGGGATTTCCCTAGTTATTGATAGATTGCTTACAGAGAAGAAATATTCCAGAATGTGTTTTTGTATGTTTATTATCAAAACAACATAAAACCTAACATTTTTGTTGAAATGTTTACAGAAATTGTTGTGATGTATATTCTGTTATGATACAGATGTGATAAAGAGCAACTGGCGTTCAATCTCTATGTGTGATCAGTTTTGACAACACTAGATTATCGTGCTTGCATAAAGCTATCCCAGGTATGAAGTTTGTAGGTGATATATGAAACTTGGCCTAATCATAACATTTACACCAGCATGTGTAGCAGCCTGTCTACGTCAAGGTCTTTAGAATCGTATATAGAATACTAGAGTAAGTTATTAAAAATGTTAATGATAAAGGTATTAATTTATTCAAAGATTACATTATTGAATATATTTATGTTTATTTAAATTTTCATGAAAAAAATGGTTGCAAGGTCTATATTTTGACTCAATTTGCTCTAAAAACTGATATATTTTTAATTTTATGTGAGATCTATCAATTCAAAAATCAAGAGAACATTTTGAGAACATAAATCAATGAATTAATCATGTATAGTTCAGGTACTACACAGAGGGGATAGAATGTATTATGACTCAAAATTATAGACAATCCCTCTGTCAGAGGTAACATGTTATCAGACTTTGTTAGAAAAAAATGGAGATAACCTGCTTATCAACATTCAGTATTTCACAAACACAATATATATTGTTCATGTGCTTTGCTCATTTATGAATTCCATTATTGAATAATTTGCTTGAATGAAAATGTGTACAACTACACAGAAAGTGAAACATGAGTCTTAGTGCAATGATATGTGTGTACAAAGAAAGTTATACATGAGTCTTAGTGCAATGATGTGTGTCCTGTGTACATGTGTTGTTGTGTGGACCTTAATGACCGAAACTCATAAAAGCATAGATTGCACTTAAATATTTAAAAATAAATGCTACATTTTTTTTGCGACAATATTTTTCATTATCAATATTTTTTTCTCAAATTATGGCCGAAATATTTATTTTTAATTCATTTTATATCATTTTTCCTACATAATAATAAGTGCCAAATTCATTGCTGAAGGATTGTGCTCCATTTTCATTTCTTTGTGTGTCTCGGTGGTTTGTGTGAGATTATCCATTCTGGAATTTAAGACGTATGGTTAAGATGTCATCACATGTACTTTCAAATGTATGATGTCATCACATAAAGTTATGACGTCATTATATACGGTTATGATGTTATAATTGTGATGTCATCATATATTTTAATGATGTCATGACTTTGTGTGAGTGTATGCATATAGTTTGATGGTGCAGAGTACAGCAGTTATCAAATTTTGATTTAACATCTTGGATGAAAGAAGGCATAAATGAAATCCATGTATTATTGCACTCATTACATCTATGTGTATTCATTTGTAAGTCAACTAAATGACAGATTTTCTCTTGCCAATTGGCAGTAGGAGAAATTTGTAGTTTGGTCTACTGGAGAGGAAGGAATATTTACTAACGGAGGCTTATTAATTCTTTTAAGGGTTGTGTAGTAGCATGTGATGACATCTACAAATATTGTGTATTTGGCCAGAACTTGGGATCGGATATCAAATGTTGGGTACATGACTATTCTGTTGTTGTGTCCTTCTTTGATGATGCTGTTCTTAACCATTTACCAGGCGAGTTGTAGATTTGTTTTGTATATTTTGCAGGTGCTTGCTGTATAAAGAATTCATACCAAATGTCAGTGTTTGAATGTATTGAACAGGGTATAATTGTATTGTTTAAAAGTCTAGATGTGATTGGTTGCTGTACTGAATTACTTAACTTTATTTCTTCAGATTGGTTAAACCTTTAGTTTGAACTTTCTTTTATTCAAGTATTTCAAGTATATATATATATGTGCAATATATATATAAAATATGTTGTGACAAAACAAATGGTACAAAATAGGAAATAGAAACAAGTGTCTTAGACACTTATGTAAATCTATCACATTATCTTAATTTGCAAAATATATTCAGGATGGACAGCATATTGTTATCAATAAAAAATACATACAATACAACAATCAGTGACAATAGTTTAAACAAGGAGAAAGAAAAGGAGATCATTAATGGTGAAGGGTTTTGGTTATACTTTTAATTTGACTTTTAAAGCAGAGACCTTACTTTCTTTCCTTTTCTAAAGGATGCTTGCTGTTAATATCTATTGGATAATATTATCATGGTGGCAATTACTTCTAAATTTTGGTGAAATTTATTTTTCTATTAAACAGAGTTTTGCATGAAAAACACTGAACGCTTTGGATATTGCTTTATTAAAATTTAAACCTATTAGAAAGCGAAAGCAAAAGAAGTTACCGTATATGCAGCAGGTACATGTGTCTATTGAAAAAGTTTATGCCTAAATGTTGATGAAAATGCAATGATTTTTTTTGTTTTTGATAACAGATTGTTAAACTTTATGTGTGTGCGACTGTGAAGGATTATATGTGTTCATATACCCGAGAAAATGTTCAGATGTACATATACATTATCAAATTACGTTAGGTATATCAATGGCCCAAATTTTACGGCTGTGCTTGTATGAACAGGGGTGGAGAATGACTTTTGCAATCTTTGTATAATTACTGCTAACGGGTGTCATACAAATATTTCTGTTCCAAATTGTCTGGCTGCATTTGATCTTAAACATTCCTTTGTAGCCAATTGTATTGAATACAAATTAATATTTTTTCCAGATTTTTGTT